AGAGTCCACCCCTCTTGGCAGCAGCCCTTCCCCGTTCCATCGGGCTGGCTCCGTGCGGGATCGTGTCCGCAAGTTCGCATCAGATTCTCCTATGGCTGCCAGGGTTCAGGATGGCCCAACCCGAGCAGCCCTTGGTTCCGTGACATCCACAAGACTTCTGGGCCCCTCCTTCATCAGCACCACCCCTGCCTCCTCCTCCAGGAGCTCCTCCTCCCAGGGGCCCAGTGACACCTCCTCTGAGTTCAACAAGGAGCAAAGAGGAATAACTCAGCCCCTGGCCCAGCTTCAGAGCTGCCCCCAAGAGGAGGGCCCCAGAGGGCGGGGCTTGGCTGCCAGGTCCCTTGAAAACAGAGCCCGGGAGCCCTTGGCCTGCTCAGAGGAACCCAGTGCCCCGCTGCCTGTGGCTGTCGGCGCTACTGAGCCAGGGGGCAGTATGAAGACCACATTCACCATCGAGATCAAGGATGGCTGTGGCCAGGCATCCCCAGGCCGGGTGCTACTACCCACAGGCAACCAGAGGGCAGAGCTGACACTGGGGCTGCAGACACCCCCCACCCTCCTCAGCACCAGCAGTGGGAACAAGAATACCATCACCCATGCCAGCAGCCCTGGGACCCTCACCCGGATGGGCAGTGTCACTCGCATCACAGCCATGCCTCCCCTGGTAGCTGAGGAGGCTGCAGCCTTAAGATGGAGCCAGAGCCCACAGAGCCTCCCTCCACAGTGCTGAAAGCCACTAATGGTGCAGAGCAGACCCAGGCGGACAAAGCACCACAGGGGCAGAGCCCACTGAGCACTGAGGAGTTGATGGCCATTGAGGATGAGGGAGTCTTGGACAAGATGCTGGATCAGAGTACAGACTTTGAGGAGCGGAAGCGCATCCGGGCTGCACTGCGTAAGCTCAGACAAAGGAAGAGAGACCAGCGGGACAAGGAATGGGAAGGACGACTGCAGGAGGCCCGAGCCCGGCCTGAGGAGAGGCGAAGCAACACATGCACCGAGACCACCACGAGGCATAGCCAGAGGGTGGCTGATGGCTCCACTGTCAGCACTATTACAAAGACTGAGCGGCTCGTCCAGTCCAATGATGGTACACGGACAGCCCGCACCACTACCGTGGAGTCAAGTTTTGTGAGGCGCTCGGAGAATGGCAGTGGCAGCACTACAGTACAAACCAAGACCTTCTCCTCTTCCTCTTCTTCATCTAAGAAAACGGGCAGCATCTTTGACCGAGAGGACCAGGCCAGCCCAAGGGCTAGGAGCCTGGCAGCTCTTGAAAAACACCAGGCCGAGAAAAAGAAAGAACTGATGAAGGCACAGAGTCTGCCCAAGACCTCAGCATCCCAGGCACGCAAGGCCATGATTGAGAAGCTGGAGAAAGAGGGTGCCTCTAGCAGCCCTGGTGGACCTCGCACCGCTGTGCAGCACTCCACCAGCTTTGGGGTTCCCAATGCCAACAGCATCAAGCAGATGTTGCTGGACTGGTGCCGAGTCAAGACACGTGGCTACGAGCATGTGGACATCCAGAACTTCTCCTCCAGCTGGAGTGATGGGATGGCTTTCTGTGCCCTGGTACACAACTTCTTCCCCGAAGCCTTTGACTATGGGCAGCTTAGCCCACAGAACCGGCTCCAGAACTTTGAAGTGGCCTTCTCATCTGCTGAGACCCATGTGGACTGCCCGCAACTCCTGGATACAGAGGACATGGTGCGGCTTCGAGAGCCTGACTGGAAGTGCGTGTACACGTACATCAGGAGTTCTACCGCTGTCTGGTCCAGAAGAGGCTGGTAAAAACCAAAAAGTCCTAACCCCTGCTTGGGGCCCCACGGATGTTGGTGGACTGCATGCCCCTGGTGGAGGTGGAGGACATGATGATCATGGGCAAGAAGCCCGACCCCAAGTGCGTCTTCACCTATGTGCAGTCGCTGTACAACCACCTGCGGCGCCACGAGTTGCGCCTGCGCGGCAAGAATGTCTAGCCTTCCCCCACAGATGGCCGGCAGCAGGGTGCCACCCCCATC